GACACAGTTCTCAAATCTTAGAAGGTAACTCCAGAAACCGTAGCTTCTCATTTTCTGTCAGTGGTTTTGAAACTGGAGGAGTGTGGCAGATACGTAGCTATCAGCATGGAATTGGAGGGCTCAGCCCTGTCTTGGAGGATGAGGCTTTGGAAAAAGTATGTAAGAGTTGCTTGGAAATTCTCTTCCTAGGGCTTTTTACTGTGTAATTGGTTTTTTTGCCTCTATGTTATGTGCAGAAGTGTGTTACTATCATCATTGTGTTTTCACCTGCACCTCCACAGAGAGGAGCAGATAAGCCCAGTTGTGCTATCCATCCAGCCTGCACAGCAAGCAGGGGGTGGATGTGCGATGGGAGTCCCAGTCCCCGTGTCATGGCAGTGCTGTCACCAGGGCTCGCTAGGTCACGGGTGTGGGAGACAGAGCTCAGCGTTGTGCAATGCCTGTGCAGTTTAAATCAAAGAAAACAAACCCAATGAGCTAACTCAGAAAAGGAGGGGGGGAAGACACGCACTGCCCCTGCAAACAACTGCAAATAAAGGAGAAGAGAGGGTTTGGGGTGCGTGTGGGTCCCCATCACTCTGCTCCTCATCGTCCCTCCCCGCTGCTTCATCTCCTCTGTCCCTCGGAGGCTCCTGCAGATCCTTTAGGTGCCTCTTGTGATTTATCATCGGGACAAGGTATCCGTCCCTTGGTGCATCTGGACCGTCCCTGCTGATTTTCCACTGGAACGTGGCTCGAGCCCCTTTGTTTTTCAGTCTGTGCTGTGGACGCGCTCTGCCGGCTGCCAGCTGGACGGCCAGCACCCTGGCCCGCTCCCTTACAGCCTCTCTGTCTCTTCTTTGCTTTTCCCTTCTTTTTCCCACCCCCACCCCTCCTTCTTCTCTTCCCCTCCCTTCTCCCCCTTGGTGATGGAAAAGCAGTTCAGATTTTCCAGGTTTACTGAAAGGGGAACAGGACCAGGGAGCAGCCACGCCGCCTTCAATAAGTGCTTTTCCAATTCTCCACAGTGTGGAAACTCCTCTGCAGGGTAATGGGGTTTCCGACCGGTTTCGGCTCCCCCGTGCCTGAAATGGGTGCAGCCCCACTGCCATCAATAAATGAATGTTATTTCCTCCGCCAGTGGCTCACACCCATCAGCTGGGCTGTGGCTGGGGTGTTCGATAGCTGCTGTCAGGCACAGGTTAAGGATGGGGAAGGGAAAAAGGTGGTTTTGAGCTACCCAAACCTGTCATCGTTGTGTTGATGTGTAAGGTTGACATAGCCAAGGACGGAGTTAGTCAGTTAGTCAGTCATTTAAGAGTGAACTAATATTTTATTGCCCTGGCTTCTCTCCAGGGAGCTAAGCATGTTTTAGATCTGTTTAGTTAGAGCAGGTTTCAAAATAACACCTTTCTTTTTTTAAAAAATACTAATAATCAGAAAATATTTTGAGCTGGGAGAAAAAAATGTTCACTTATTCCCAAAATTGTCATTAATACTTTTACCTGAAGGCTGAACAAATGAAATGGTGTACAGGCATTATTGATGCAAATACATGTGTGGTAAGGGTTTTGCAAAGGAAGGGCTTTCTCAGGGGCTGTAGTCTGTATTTGTGTTGCTCATCACACTGACACAAACAGCTGGAAGCATTTTAGAAGAAAGAGATGCAATATGCTTATATATCAATGTCAGGAGTTATGAAAGCTTTAGAATTTAAAAAGACACTTAATTTTTGAATCTTAAATAAGTAAAGTTTGTCATACAAGTCATACTAGTGTTTTTTCAGCGAGAAATATAAAAGAAGGAATGAAATAATCTTCCCCTCTCTAAATTGGCATTTAGAGGGAATTGATTGGTTTTATTTGAGAAAGAAAGCAAATACAGTCAAGTTATATTTCTACATTTATTGAATATGAATCTAATTTTGCAGTTGCTGCAGTCGATGGAAAACACCCTGTTATGCTCATGTGGGGTACCTGATATATAGCATATTTATCAGCACCCCAAGCTACAAGCATCTATGGCTGTTCATTGCAGAATTTCTGTCTGCACCACGTGCTTCCGTGATGCATTAAAAAGGAGTTTTAACCTCTTGAATAAATTCTTTGAAAATTTGCAGGCACGGTTTTGGGAGGTGAACACAATTTATAAAGCTGTGTTTACTGTTGTTTTTACATCCTTGAATTTACTGAGTGTATGCGAGTTGGTTGTATGGATGCTACAGAAGGCATCAGATTGTAACTCTTTCTGTTTTACTCCCATAGAATGTGAGAATTTCTTGGAGGATGGGCTGAGTAGCGTCTGTGCCTCGTCACAGGGTGTCCTTAAAAGAGAGTCCGGGAGCGAGTCTGACCTCTTCCCCTTGCCTGGTGATGGGATGGAAGACCTTGTCTTTGGAAAGGTAGGAAAGCCTGGTTGGGATATGGTTAAAAAAGCTCCCGAGGCCTGATTCGATAAACCTGTACTGCAAATGCAGATCATCTTGGTTTCACTGGTGAGTTAGAAACCTGGAAGCGATTATCCTGGAACGGAATAGATGGGAAGGGATCTGGTCCTCTCTTTGCATGCAGCAACATGAGGGATGTATTTACTTGCAGCAGAATTCCAAAAACCATGCAGCCCCCAATGTGAAAAAGATGAATGTAATTTCAACTGTCCAAAAGTAAATCAGGTACTAGAGGAACAGTTGAAAAGGTGGATTTTCTTGCAAGGTCGTTAGGGATTGCACAGATGGTATGAAAGCCATCTTTAACTCATGTAACAAAGAGCTCTTCTCCAGCAAACGATGACCTCTGCGCTGACACCTTCGGAATCATATACTGTAATTCTCGGAGGAACCAATGTTTTTCTGTAAATCCAGTGTGACTCCCTGGATAGGAAGGAAACACTCACTCTAGATACTTAAGGCCAATTCCAATGAATAGTTTTGTTGCCTAGGCGACATACCTCTAACGCTGTTTTGCGTGCAAGTAGAAGGAAAATGTTTTCAGGTTTGCTTAAAATCAACAACAGAAGTCATTACTAACCTTAGTCATCCCTGTGCCCTTTGTGCTGCTCATGGCTGAGAAGGAGGAGTGGGTGAGACCCGAGATAGAGAGTAGCCTCCTGAACAGAGAACGCCTCGCTTCAGCATCAGTCTTCTGCCGTCTGCATCAGAGCAGCCTGAATTTATTCCGAGGGTGATTCGGTTTTGCTTTTTAAGAATTTTCTTGCTGGTAATTGATAGTCTTATTGCCATAAGTAGAGGATGAAAAAGCACTCAGAAAGAATAGAGTAATGCAAAATCAAAGAGGATGCGAGCCTTCTTAGAGCAGCCCTCATGTTGGTCTCAGCTCCATGAAATCACCCGCTTACGTTCAGCTCCAGCTTACCTGTTCAAGCAGGCACGGTTCCTGCTCTGAAAAACTAAACCTTGGGAATAGGTTTCACACTTGCTTTCAGAAAAATATATTTAATGAAACAAAATTCTGTTTGCTTTAAATCAAATCACATGATGGTGAATATTTTCCAGCAGGACGGGAAACACCACAGCCCGGGCTAAGTGATCTCATGTGCTATAAATGAACAGTAAAGTCATCCTTAATGCATGTGGCAGGGCACAGAGCTCACCAGCCTCACCCTTTCCCATCTTAGTCTCAAAGTGATGTGGGACCCTGGTTTGTGAGAATATAAGGCTGTTTGGCAGAGCAGAGACTGTCTTCAGTTTTCTCCTGTAGAGTGGCACGAATTAGGACAGCCAACTGCCATTTAAGCCTGACTTAATGCTCGTGTGGGTATGCATGGGAGAAGAGTCCTGTGGGAATGCAGTAAATTTTATATTGTACAGAATTTTAGGTTTTTCCCTTTCTTATGCGGAAAGTTACCTTCTCCAAATATGAGAAAGAAAAATTAAAACTTAAAAAGATTAGGTAGTGCAATGTAGTAGGGATGCTGCAGGGAAAAGGAGGAGGTGGTGGGGAAAGCAGACCTTTGGTTGCCAGTGGAGAGCAGGCAGGGGGAGGAAATTATTTTCTTTGTAGAAAGGGAATTTCTTAATTTGACAGCCTTTGCATTGTTCTCATTATGCGGTGGATTGCAGACTTCATCTACAAATGGGTTCAAAAGGTTCCTGAGTTGAGTTTAGGAAGTTATTCAAAGCTAATCTCAACCTCAGTCACTTTTTTTGTCTCTGCTTTGCTGACTAACTTGATTCCTTGTCTCCTTGCTCAGAATTTATCTGAGTACCTTTTCTACAGTTGAAGTTACTTCTAGAAGGACCAGAGACACTAGTTTAGTGTTGTAAGCTCATTCCTTAATTCAGGTTTTTTTGTGTTTTTTTTGGACTACTGAGCCCAGCTGGTAGAAATGCAAGTTATAAATATTTTTAATAACCACTAAAATAAGTGCTGGATGTAATCTTTCTTCTGAAAAATATTATAAGATGCATGTGTTGGTTGTAGTTGGTTAGTTATAAGCCTACTAAACAGTACAATTTCCATATCAAATCGGGAAGAGAGAGAACATGCTTGTAACAAAAAGAGGATCACAAATCTTTCAGTGTCATGATGATGATTGTTGTTACTAGTCCTGTTCTTGTTGCCCCTTTGTGTGGAGCGAGAGCTGAACTTTTGTCTGTTAGAGTTGGGTTTTATTGTATAAATCACTCCTCTGTTAACTGCTTAATACATTAAAAGAAATTTAGGAAGAACAAGCCATTGTCTGTCCAGGGTCTTTGGGCTGCTTCCATAGACACCACTTGAAATTCATAGATTTTAAGCCCTGGTTCTGTCCCAAGACCATGAAGAATTGGGGCTTGTGGGGTCACAAAATCTGCAGGTACCTTAAACTGTCCCTGGTGTTCGGTGCATGCTCTCATGGCCGTCTTCTGTGCTTGTCTCCTTTTGGCATTTTGCTCTGAAGGACGCGTGCTGAGCTGCGTAACATGAGCTGCTGGGTTCAGAGAGCTTTAGCACTAAAACGTGACTTGTTTTTTCAGACTTTAGAGGCTGTCACTGAAATCCAGAAATCACTTCCAACGTGAGGTCTAAGGCTTCAGCAACATGTTTCTTTTTTTGTTTTGTTTTGATTTTTTTGCATCAGTGCTTCATTCCCATGTCCTCGTCATCCTGCTTTTCCTTCTCCATCTCAGACAGCCATCTGGGCAGGCTTTGCAACACCCTCCTTCTTGAATGATTAATGCTGCATAAGGTCATTTCTCACAATCATCTGGCAACATCCTGGGGCGTAGCCCATTCGCTTTGCTCATCTTTACTTTTAATCTGCCACCGAAATTCAGTGTTACTGGGAAGTTTTTTAATGTGCCTCTTGGGAAATGATTTGGACGGAAGGCCCTTGGGAAGTCAGGACCCCACAGATCATTGTCAAAGGAAGGAGTTGCAACTCAAACCCTTGAATTCTATTTAATTTCTGCCTCTGTTTTGGTTTGCTCAAGGAAATACACAAATACATAAATATTTTGCATTTCTTTTTTCAGAATTATTGTTTCTCTTAAAAAAAAAAAAAAAAACAAACAAACAAAAAACCCCACCACAACACAAAAAACCCCAACAACCATGCAAATAAACCCAAACTGGATGGAATAAAAATTTGAAGAGAGAGGGTTTCACCAGGGGAAAACACCTCCACTCCAAATCATAAAAGTTATGATAAATAGGAGGCCACTATTGAGGTTAATTTTAGGGAGCCTGGAGCCATAGGCAAATCCAAATAAAAAATGTCTCTGCTAGATTATATGAAGCCAACCAAAGATGTTGACTCCTTTAGTGTAATGGTATGCCAAATAAACTTCAGGATGCCAGTGTTTAAGTTTTTCATCTTTTTTTTTTAAAATACTCTAACACTTTAATGTCTTTGTCACATGGAAGATCAGGGCACAAAGTAAGTTTGTGTCTAAGCATTTTGCATGTTTTCATCACAAAACTGATTGAAAGAACATTTTAATTCCACTTATCAAGACCTCCTACAGATGGAGGGATTTAGTTGAAGAAGTTATCTTACACCCCCACCATCCTAGTGATTTCTCTTATCCCTATTCATGAAGAAGTACATACCTTCTTTCTCAGAAAACTCACTTTTTATGCCTTATCTCATTTTTTTCTTACTAGCTTCTCACCAAGTGCTGTTTCTGAGAGCAAAGAAAATGCCCATTAGCACGTGTCTGTAAAGGCTTTTTTCAGCCATGAGTTTTATGGTCACAGTTCAGGGTTGAATTCATTGAGGTGCAATGCAGCAAGCCTAACTTGAAGGAAATGAGTATTTCTTTAATGTTTCATTTTTCCTGTAGGAAAAGAACACATTAGAGAACCATTTCTATTTTGCAAATAGGATATTTTCTTACACAAATAGGATTAAAGAGCAATGCATGTTTGCTGGCATTTGGCCAGATAGCTAATTTTTTGCAGAGGTGGCTACAATATAGATGTTTCTTAGATGTGTCAGCCACATTTGGCATTTTGCAGACAGAGTCCTGGTCTTCCATATTAACTGTTTTGCTTTGCTTTAAAAAAAAAAAAATCATTTAAATGAAGACAGAATATTTTTAGAGGAATAAGCATGGGCCACAAGTTCAAGGGAATTGTTTATTGTGTTCTGTAGTCAGTCTGATGCTCAAGGTAAAAGTTAAAATGGACCAAATATATTGCACATTTTTCAAATATCTCTTTGAACTGTGCTTTACAATAGAAACCCTAAATCTTCCCTGCTAGGGTAGCAGTTTTCGTTCTACGTTTTAAGCTGGAGCAGTAGTCTCATCTCAGAAATAAAAATTCCTCTTTTTACTCTAATTCCTCCCTATATAATTTGATGTTCTGTACTACTGTTGCTAGATTTGCATCCAAATTTAATGTTTCCAAACTGTCCCATCCTTCCACTGTACAGCTGGTGGGTAGTCCTCTCTCCTCCTGCTGTTCTGCCCTAATGTCTAACAGCATTTTCCTGTGTCTCAGAAAAGCGAAGCAGACTGTTCCCTTTACTGAAGGAGTATTATCCACATAATGACGACTTAATTTGTCTGAATTTAAGCAATGCAGTAAGCTCTCATCGTGACTCACACAAATATCAGACTTGTATAACGCCAAACGTCATCAAAAACTTTACAGGGCATCCGTTTCAGTTCTCTCTTGTTTTAACCTACACTTCCTATTTAAATATGTGTCAAATCCAATACTTTACATTACAGTATAAGTTTACTATTAAAGTATTTACACAAATTCACCATTAATATTTGACATTCCTTACCATGAAATTAATGCTTTTGAAGGGATATATTTTTAGTGTGGTTTTTTTAATATTTTGTGTTTAAAAGGTATATTGTACTTTGGTGTTGTGCTGTGGATGCTGTCTTCTTTCTTTTTTCTTTGATAGATGGGAGAGGGGAAATAGTGTGACAGCATTTATTTAAACCACCTTAGGAACATTATTTTGTGCCTGTTACAGTGAAAAAAGAGTAAAAAATAGCTAAACTTGAAACAAGGCTTCCCTCTGAATAGTGAAATATTTGATTGGAATACTTTTTGAACATCTCAGTTTCTTTTTATTCAGTTAACAAGAAGCTTTTAGCTTATAATGTGTGCCCATCAAAAAAAGCCCAGAAAAGCAAAAGCGTCTGGAGCATTTAACACTGCAGGGCTTGAACGAAGTCAGGGCGGAGGGATCCGAGGTGAGGGCTGCCGTGGGGCAGCACTGCTCCCGTTCACCCTGTCCCGCGTGGGTTTTGGTGCCCATCTCTCCCTTCTGAGAATGGGATATTGTAGCCCGTTGTCTTCTGCCAAATGAGAGCTGACAGCCTGCTCCTTGAGCGCTCAGCTTCTGCTGAGACCCACCGAGCCTGCTATTTGAAGACAATTAACTGCTGTGGCTTTGCTGAATAGTCTATTATATATGATCTGTCAGATTATTCTGCCTATTATTATTTTAAATGATACAGTGCAGGGCTCTGCAGGAGAATAAATTGAAACTTCCCACGTCAGTCCCTCGGGGCAAACACCATTTCAGACTGAAGGTGATGTCAGAGAGATGCTTGTGTTTTTTTTATGCTAGCCATGAGGAACACAGAATACACTCAGGCTCTTCTCGGGCTGTATGGTCAGCATGTGGCCTTTGGCCAAAGAGAACCAGTTTGGCTTCCACTTACTGCTTTTGGAGCAAACTAAACCAAAAAATTGCAGTGTGACTCAAGACCTGTAATACAGGGCGGCTGATCCTGTGGAACGATATTTTTCAATTACAGTTGGATTTGAAAAATGCTGCAAACCCTGACATTAACTTTCTGCTTAATGGAAAGTAGTGGGGGATGGGGATTTAAGCTCTTATTTTTCTCTGTCTGTTTTCTACTACTGTATAATTGTCCCTTTTGTGCTGCATGATGCAGTGGAACAGTATGTTGCCCTTGAGCTCTCGTGGCTGAGAGCTACAAACCCATCCAAGGTTCCACAGGAGAGGCTGGAGTTTGTCGTCAGGAGTCAGGATGACCCCATTCCCCATTAATTGCTCTCAGTCATTAACACCTGGTAAACCTTTGGCGGTTTTATGGCACCTTGACCGATAACAGGTTCAGCCAGAAATGGTGAGAGGAGCAGGATTTGCTGTGCAGGATGAAATGTGGAATTGGAGAGAGGAAGGCAGGCAGAGGACCCGAGCTGGGAGCCCAGGGTTATGGCAGCTGTGGGCTTGTGGGGTGGAAGAGATTGCTCTGTAGAGCATTTCAACTTCTTTTGAAACCAGAGCAAAAAGTCTCACTTTTGTGATGGTTGATTTGCCTCGTGCTATCAACTAGGAAATCTCTCAGCTCGTGCAAAATATAAAATATTTGTGTTTATTTAAAATGTTAAATGTATTCACTTCATTAGAATTGTTCAAGGTCAGGTTGGATGGGGCTTTGAGCAACCTGATCTAGTGAACGATATCCCTGCCCATGGCAGGGGGCTTGGACTGGATGATCTTCAAAAGTCCCTTCCAACCCAAACCAGTCAATGATTCTACTTTAATATATTTTTAATTTTTCTTATCCACAGCAGCCTGAAGAGGAGCAGTCTGCATGCGATGTCACCAGCTCCAGTTCCTCTGCAGATGACACCATGTCCCTGGAGAGGAACTCATCCCTGGGCAGCGACACGTCCCTTCCCTTTCCGCCGATGGTGAACTTCGTCCAGCCCAAGGACAGGCACAGCTTGGATGGCAGCTGCACCAACATGGTGGCCACAGAGGGAGGAGAGAAGGAAGAGGAGCTGGACAGTATCGCGGATGTGCCCACTCATTCCTCAGTCTTACGAAACTCCATGCGGCCGCTGTCACCTTTCCGTCGACACAGTTGGGGGCCGGGGAAGAACGCCACCAACGAAGCAGAAATAAATCAGAGGAGGTGAGTGAAGAGCTGCTTTGATTTACTTTGCACCCACTCATGCATATTTATTTAAGCTTTGGGCTCGCATGATAAAACAGAGAACTGAGGATGTCACTTCTGATTATTTCTTTTTCACTCAACGGGGTCAAGACAATCTCCTAACGCACGTATGTTTGTTTGTTTGTTTTTTTTAATTAACCTCTAGGATTAAAGTACTTAATACCTACAGTACACTTGAACTTCCCAGAGCAAATGGAAGTACCTTGGGACAGGTCTTTCATTTGAACTGTCACCACACCTTTCTATATGAAGGGCTTTGTTAAAGGAATTACTGGAGTGTCAAATCTCTCACAAAATAAACATGACCATTATTGTATTGTATTAAGAGATAGCACGGGCATCAGAGTTTTAAAAAAAGGTGTGGAGGCTCCTCATCTGGCATAGTGGTGAGATGGGTAGTCCCTCTTCCATGGAATTGGTTCCACCTCAGTCTCTCTTGGACACTAAGTCCCGTCTGACTCACCACCAATGTCCCCAGTGGTGCCCCAAAAGATTCAAAAGGGAAGTTTTCCCTTTTGTTCTTTCAGAAGATACAAGAGGGAGAGGTGTAACAGCCATGTGAGTGTGTAAATGCTAGTGCCAAGTGACTGTGGGAAGAAAAGGTGCTCAGCCCCCCATCTGAGGATGAAGTAAAGGAAGATGGGCACCAATAAAGGAGTTGGTGTAAGGTTCCCCGCTGTGCCCTGCACCGTTCAGCATCTGGGGTGCTGGATGCTCGGGGTCACACCCTGCATGTTCTGAAAGCAGTGGAGATTTGGCCAGTGTTTTTAATGCATTTAGTGCTCCCAAAGCAGGAGTGGCCAATTGTTTTAGCAGCGTCAGGGTGCCATATCCTCCTGTCCCTCCGGTGTAGGCTTGTGGCTTACAGAGGCTGCAAGGCCAGGCGTGCAGCACAGTGCTGCTCTCCAGGCTGCCCGCTGCCATCTTCATGGCCATGGGTCTGCGTTTAAGATAAACGGAGCTGTTGCATTTCGTGATGCCATTAAATTAAAACTGGCCACTCATAACAGGTTCCTGGTAAATTGTTACTGACCTGTTTGGATAACTCAGTGCGAGACGGCAGCCTCCCATCAGAAATGTGTGCATCCTTTACACGTTAGGAGCTGTGGGTATCGCTAAAGGAATAGCATAGACCCTTCAGATATTAAAGCCGATGTTGAAGAACATTCAGGACACTCTAAGTAACATAGAGTGAAAGATTTATGATTCTTATTGTTGTTGTTGCTGCTGCTGTTTACCACTGCCACCTTTTCTTGGCTTCATTCCTGGTCCCCAGGTAATATTTAAATAAATCAAGTAATACCTATCTTTTTAAAGCTACAAAAGAGTCAGCATAAGGTATACGTGCAGGTTTATGACAGAATGAGTCCATAAGCTCATAAACTCATTTGGAGAGATTTATTTTTAAGTGTAGGACCTGTTATGTAAGGATTTCTGAGGGTAATAAACTGCATAGCTGGCAATTACTGCTAACACTTAACAGATGGGGTTAAGTTCTCCTGCGTCAGACTGTGGAGGCTGTTTCTGATATGGGAAAATACATTCATTGTAAATGTAAGAAAATTGGAGTTAAAGGAACAGTAATTATTCTCATATGTTCTTAGATACAGCTGCCGCTACATAAGGATAGCTGTCACGTAGGTTAATTAAAAAAGAAAAGCTGGGTGGATCTTTGCTGCTGATTTGATTCCTGTTTGTTTTTATGTTTCTGTTACAAAGGAATTTGGATTATTTCGGTTTGGGGGTTTTTTTTCCTTTGTTCTTTTCATACGTGGCTGTTGTGATGTTGAGATTCTGGTTGCTTAGTGAGCAACAACAAATACTGAGGAATTGAAGCCCAGACAAGTGACTTTCATACAAATCAGTTAAATTGGGGGTGGTTGCTTATTTGTTTATTTCACATGCAGCAGATACTTTTCCATTTAAAGGGGAAAAGCCCTTATTGTAACTTGACTTTTGCAAACCTTTGAAGTGAAGTAACACGGAGGACGAGCTTTAGCTAAGGTTTGTCCTGCTAATGGGCAGGACCTGTGCTGCTCCCACTGCCTGCCACCCCTTGTCTGTGCTCCCACCCCTCTTCTGGGCACCCATGGCACTTCTTTTCTCCATCAGTGAGCAGGTTGCACTCACTAAATGAGCAGAAAATGAACTAAATAAAGTGTAATTGCCACCAAAACAACCCAAGGGTTAGAACTGGGCTGCACAGCTGAGCTGTCAGAGGTGCCTCCTGTCCCAGCAAAGGGCTCGCAGCCTGGTCCAGCCCCATCCACACCGAAAATAGTCTTTCCCCTGATGGCAAAGGTAGCTAAGTCAAGCTTAAATAGAGCTGCTGATACAGGACCCAAAGAGCCTATGGAAAAAAAATCAGTCTTTTGTAGGATTTGGTCTTTTCCAGTGTTACATGTTTTCTGTTTGTAAGAAGGATGAGCATAAAAGATTGTTCACAGAAAAGATTAAAAAAAAAAAAAAAAATTGTTGTAAATAAAATGTGAAAACATGCTCAGTTCCCCCTCCGTTTCCCCTCTCTCTTCAAATGCGCTTCACGGATAATCCTCATGTCTACATTTTGCTATTAAAAATACAAAGAAAACTAACACGGCTGCCACAAAAGGATGTTCATCCTTCAGTTAATTCCTGACATTCATAGCGGATTTGAAATGCCTGTCTTTCAACAACGATGCAGTGTTTTTACCGTTTGGTTTCAAGGAAAGAAATGCCGGCATTTTTCACTGATGGATTAAGCTCTGCACAACTGGAGCTGGTGTTAATCACAGTTGCTAACAGCTTCTGTCAAATAGTTTGTCCTTATCTAAACTTTAAACTGACCTGGCTTTCGCAGCAGCTAAGTTGCAACGTGGTCAATACCTGTGAAACCTTCTTTCTGTATAAAAAAAAAAAAAAAACACAACAATCAAAAACCAGATTTATTTGTAAAAGAGAGAGGAGGAAAAGAGAGACTCATTACTGCCTTTAGTTTTTAATTTTGTGTTTTCTCTGTACGTCCATTCCCTCTGTTGTTCATTTGTTGAGGATATTATTCCTTCAGCTGCCATTTGTTCATTTTTTTTCCATTCAAGCTGCTGACCACTCTCCATGATTCATTTTCAGTTCAATGCGAGTTCTGGGGGATGGTATAAAGAAGCCTCCCATTCATAGGAGAAGGTACAAAGCCAACTAACGTGACTAACTGTTTTGCATTTGAATGTCTACTAACTCCATACTGTCATGTTAGGAAACCTGTAGTACCTCTCAAAGCGTTGGCGTTAGAGCTGTGCATCCCGCTTGGCTGCTTTCCCTCCCCAGTCTGACCCAGCGCTGTTTTTCTAGCCTGCAGAGCACATGCTCAAGGCATTTTCTCCAGGACGATATGTTAATAACTTGGAGAAATCTCAGATATCATTATGTTGGCCTTTGCCATGTGTAAGATTTGGAGTTGTATTAAAATAATTGTTTACCTGCGAGCATGTGCATAATTTGGATTTAAAGCAGATCAGAGACTCCTGCCACGACTAGCAGGAGGGGCACCTGGGGAGGGGATGCATCAGAAATGATCTCAGAGTTGGAGAATACTCTGCAGATCTGCAGCTGGTTGAATTAAATGGCTTTAATTTTGCTCTTTTGCTGTTTTTTAAAACCATCATCCTAAAAAGTAGAAAATAAGTATTCTTTTCTTCCATGTGTGGTTTTTTTCTTCTGTATAGCAACCTTTCAGTTCCTCATCCATCATGCAGATAAGCATTTTCACTCACGTAACCTTTGCACTATTGACATATAAAATAGGACACTTAAGTTTTGACACAGCACATGTGGACTGTCCACACTTATACATTTTTAGGCTAAAAAAAAAAAAAAAAAGAGAAGTTTAACCTCTCCCCTTCAGTGGTTCAACCTCTTCTCATCTCCCACAGCCTACCTCTCCTCCGGTGGCAGGTTAACTCAGGATTTTGTTTCCCTTGAAATGGATGGGGTTACATGTGTGTATGTGTAAACTACCATATTTCCACGTAGGGAAAAAATGTTACCATGACGTTTTTACAAAAAAGTCACCGTGCCATCAGCATAAATGAAGCCATATGAGCAGTGCTCTACAGTTCAGGAGAGGGCTCTTAAAAAGAATTTTAAAAAAAAAGGGGCACAAGAAAGAACATGCTTTTTTACTTCTACGAAGCCACTTTATTTGCATCACTCTGTGCTCTGGAGGAAGAAGTGCAGTGCTCGTCTTCTCAGCTCATGCAAATGAACATCTTTTTACCAGTTGTCTGTTAAGGCTCCTCTGTAGGAGCTGTATTAGTAGTTAGAGTCACAATATCCTGAAACACTGAGCTTACACATAGAATAAAGAAAATGTCTCAATTAGACAACCTAAAATACCTCGTCATAACTGAAATGTGCGGTAATTCTTTCATAAGCATTCTCTCTCTTTTTTTTTTTTTTTCCTTTTTTTTCTGGCTTCCCAGCCATTTTGGTATCATCCTCTCTAACCCCAGTTGCAGAGCAAAAGCCTGAAACGAATTCCAACAGCTTATGCTCTCCCACAAGGCTGATGTATTTAATAGCTCATCCCCCTTCTCCAAGTTGTCTTCTGTAAAGGGGTTTTGCATGCTCTGCAATGATCCTGTTTGGGTTTTATGGTGTTGCCAACAGATTGTGGGTGGCTCCACAGCAGGATTGTAATTCTGTTTTCCACGGCCCTTGCCAAAACGTCTTTTTCCTTTTCTGAGACCTTCCACCACTTCCAGGCTTCCTCCTACATACATACACGGCTCCTCTCCTTTCCTCCCTCCACTCTTCTGCTTCCCTTCCCTGCAGTTTTAGCATTTGGGATTGTCACTGTAACATGGCAATGGTCAGGAGTAGAAGCATCTTTTAAAGTGTGCTATCTAGTGTAAATGTTGCATCATTCCTTTAACGAGGAAAATCCTCTCTCCTTCAACTGAAAAGTGACCACACAAGGATTACTGACTTTTTCAAACAAGTGAATATAAGCATAGCTCCAAGGGTCTACCAAGCCCAGTAGTCTTAGAGCCACAAGCAGACGGCTGGGGGAAGCAAGGAGAAGGGAAGCATGTATGATACATTCCTTGGGATACTTTCTCAGCCTCCATCTAGTTTCCGCCGGGCAGGTTTTCCATACCTGCTTGGAGGCTGAACCCAAGCCTGAGAGTACAGACCGAGATGTATGATGGAGATGGGTTTACTGTGGCCAGGACTTGGTTCTTTTATGATCTCAAGCAAGTATTTAGTCCCCCTGTCCCTCACTAATACTTACATCTGCCACCATGGTTTAGTTGGAGGATGATGATGAAGTACTTGGAAATATTGGCATGTTATGGGAAGGTGTGTCTTCATGAAGAATGCTTATGGTACTGTGCTGAGAGCTACTGGTGAAGCACAGCTGGAGCTGTGGGGTGCAAAGCACAGGTACTTCAGGTGCATCCTCGCCCCATCGAGCTGGACTCGATGATGAACTTTGTGGGTCCCTTCCAACTCAGGACATTCTATGAGCCTATGATTCTAATTAACATCCTTAATAAAACAGGTAGCAATTACCTGAACTCCACCATTGAACACCATTAAACCCTTCCTGAATGTTTCCAGTGTTGTACTGTGTGTGTGAAAACTATACAAGGACTTGGCATGAGATGATGCAGTCAGTGGCTTTAAACCGTCCTCTGTGCCTCTGAGGCTTCTGGCACTCACAAATCCTGGCCCAGGGATGCTTAGACTTGTTCTGCCCTTTGCGTAGGATCCTGGCCTGGAGCAAAGCAAGCTCTGGCCGTGTCCTCTCCTTGCATGGATCACAGGCCAGGGGCTGGGAGCAAGACTTGTGCAGTGCTGCTCTGGCAGATCTGTGCAGATGCAAAATTCCCTTCAGACAACGTATGTTTCCTGGACAGTTGTTCCAGGATTTAGGGATCCTTTTCTATGTCATAGCTGACAAGAAGATTGATTTCTCTGTGTCTGCAAAACCTGCAATTGGGCCATGAGCTGACAGAGAAAAAATAACAAAAGGAGTGTTTAAAATAACAACCAAAATATTTGCATTCAGTATTTGCATTTTTTATGTCTTTCATGATGCAACTTGGGACTCTTTTGGGGTATGGGAGCTGAAAGGTTTTCTAGTCAAAATACTATTTGAAGGATTCTTGATTTAATCCCAAGTTAATAGTAAGACAAGCCTGTTTTTTTCTTCCAGCCTCTTTCACTGATTTGCTGTACAGCATTTAAGAATGTAACTCTCTCCTTATTTTTCCCAAGTGTAGCCTGAGGTTATTAATACTTGCATGGAGAGGACTTAAACGATTAAATATATGTAATGATTCTTTTTTCTGATTTGGGGATGAGAAGTACCAGAAAAATACTAATCATAACTAACACAACAGCTGTGTGCGATTACTTACGCAAAATTGACTTTGGTGTGTTTCAGCTTTGTTTTCCCCAAAAACTTCTCTCCCCACAAGGAGCAGTTTCTCCTGTACATTGTATACTCGCCGATGGGGTTGGTTTGGGGGAAGGGTGGGCTGTCCTGCTACCCTGTTCGGTGGTAACCTCGGTCACTTGGGGAACTCTGGCGTGTTCTGGCAGCCAGAAATATATAGTAGCTACTGCATTATTTCTGAGTTTGGTTTTTTTTTGTAAGATATGCAAGAGTGAGAGTCTTTTAACATTCCCGTTCCGTAACAATCCAATAATCACAGGCCTTTTCCTTTCTTTGCCTCTTTTGATGTTCCTAGTTTGAGCTGGTGTCCCTCTGGCGTACAGTTCATTGCCATGGGTCCTGACTTTACTTGTAGAAGGTATGGTATAAATAAATGTGCAGCAGCAGCAAAGGAGCACTGCAAACACCCTGTCATCAGCTTTTCACACATTGCTTTTTCTGCTGCTGCTGCTCTGGCTGAAGTGTGTTTTGTTTGCTTCGTCTGCTTCTTCAGCAGTTAGCCTTGGGAACGGGCCTTCTGAACTGGGGTGCAGGTATAGGTGGTGGCTGCTTTTCATTGGCCTTGAGTGTTAAAGAGGCTGCACTGTTGGTCTCAGCTGCTCTATTCTGTGATGATTTTAAGGCATGTTTTTCCACAGCAATGATCATAATGATAATTGTGACAGCCAAAGAATCAAAACAAGAGTTAATATGATTCAGCACCGCTTTGTTCTGAATGAATCTCGTAAAGGATTTAAGTTCATACAGAGTTGCTCTTTGTAATTTGAAAGATCTAGTTTCTTCTTCAAAGAGGCTAATCCTGCAAAACTTTCTGTGAAAAACCAATCTGATAGTCACAGATGAAGATTTCCCAGGCATTTAAAGCTTGCATCTTCTGTAGAAAGTCCCAGAGTTGGGATTGATACTCACAGGTCACATCTTTACCTGATGTTGCCTGGAAGCTAGTCTCCCAGATTTTGTAGCTTCTGAGTTCTTCTGGCAGTTCTTGTTGGTTGTGGGTAGAGCTGTTGAACTCTTTTTCTGAAGACTAGATACTGAGAAGGAAGTCAGTATGTCCTTCTCATTACAGATTTAATTACATCTGATCTATATACCCCAACCAACAATTACAGACCAATATTGCCAACTGATGACTGTTTTCTGTGCTATCTAATATTTGCAGTTTTGAGCTGTTTGTGTCATGACAAAGCATGTGATTTTTTTCTGCACTATATAGCACCATTGTTATCACCTTGGGATGAAAGAAAAAAAATGTTTTCTCTGCGCTAAATAATTGGTAGAAATGGGACTGATTTCTCTTTGCAGGTTTTTTAGAGTAAACTTTATAATGCCTGCTATTGATACACATTGTTGAGTCAAAATCTTCCTAAAGCAGATTAAATTGTAAATGCCTCAATCAGTCTTCTTTCTCATTAACTAACATGAAAAAAAGTCTTAAAAAATTCAGTAAATCTTATTTAAGGTTTATGGCGGTTTTTGCTATGAAGATGCATATTTATCAGCTACCTAATGCTTCTAAAGCAATGCAGAACATTAATCACTGCTATGCAAGTCTATCGGAATTTAAAGGTCCTCTAGTTGTTTAAATAATCTGTACAGTCTATAGTGTGTTTCCCTTTCATTTGCTTATATGTTAGCTTGTTGGCCACTTAGATGTCACGATTAGCTTCCAGTTGGGATATATATCCAGGATAGGCCTTGCTTCAAGCTAGCAGAACTTTGTGTGCATAAAATCAAACATTAGCCACAGAGTTGTGCTAGTGTACCGGGAGGTGAATCTGTAAAGCTTGCACATTAACCCAAAATGGCATTGCAGTGGGTTTATCAATGGTTGGCCATGAGGAGCAGGAGGGCCCAGAAGCAGAACATCAGGGCCAAGATACATCAGACGGAAACAGCCACATGTGAAAGAGGGGCTGTTCTGTATAGGTGAGAAGAGAGTGTGTTAGCCTTTTTCTGTAGAGGTCACTTGTCTATCAGCAGCTGTCTCTACAGAGGTTGACCAAACCTTTTATTACTACCAATTCTGCAAGCAAAAGTTTGGTATTTTGTTCAGCTCTGAGTGATTATGTCTGGCTCCATTGGACAGACCTAGCTTCATCAGCAAATGATAAAACAGGATTGATTGGCTGATGGAGACATTTATTGGGGGAAAAAAAAAAAGAGAGAAAAGGAAAAAAACAAACCAGCTTTGGCAGAAAGGAGGACATTATCAGTGCTGAAGCTTTGTGCAGTGGCAAATGCTAAATAGATTCAGAGGATGTGTATGTGTCTGCAGAGATGAACATTACACGCAGCCCAGAGCAGATTTTGTGGCTGCTGAGAGGGGTGGTGGTCCAGGACACACAGCACTGTGCTATACGCAGTAGTTTAGTTTGGGTGGATTTAAGCCCAGGCACAACTTAATAAGAAGCTAGCAAAGAGAGTATGTGGAAATATCAAAATCTTCAGAAGTAGAGTTTCTGGATTTTCCTGTGCACAATTCAAGAAGGAGGAAAAAAAAAAAAGTGGGAAAGCCCATTGACCAAGAGTTTGAATGGTCATTCTCAGGCAACTACTGTGTCTCATTAGAGGCACAAAGATGCTGCTGTATTAGTTATGAAGAAAATAGAAATCCCTCCACTGCTATTTGCACTCGGTTGTTGAGAAGTAACATGCTGAGGAACAACATCAGTATTTCCCTGCACAGTTCAGTTAGTGGCTGCGTTGTGTATTACACTTGAAGGTGCTATGTACTGAAAGACACCAGTCCCTAAGAGTTTTTCAGGATCTAACCGCCATGGTTTCTCTTCAGTTACAGCCTAGAAGGCCTTGCTGGAGACTCTGGTGAGAACAAGCAGCCCTCTACAAACTTGGAGGCTTCTTCTCTGAGCTCCAAAGAGCTCAGACCAAGTTCGCTTGCCAGCAATCAGTGCGGGTCCCTGGTCTTGCTCACTGAAGAACTCGAGCAAGGGGAAATCAGAGACTACAATCGCCAGGTAAAGCTGTCCAACTATTCTTAGATTTCTAGAAAATCCTACATCAATGTTTTGAAGTTATTTTCCCAAGTCACAGTTTCACTGTGAAGGCTTCCACCCTGTACATGTAATATTATTAAAATCTTCCATCTTTAACACAGAGGAATTTCCCCTGTGTTAAATTTGCTACTTCGTTCTTTGGGGCAGTGTGGTTGATGGGTGAAGTCATAGGGTGGAGAACAAGAAATTTCCCAGTTTTCTTCCACTGATTGCATGCGTAATCATGGAAAAGTTATTAACTTTTTAGCATGGATATAGTGATACTATCAATTGCAGGTGTTGTAAGGCTTCCACAATTAATGCTTATGTTGCCTTTTGCAGACCTGAAATACACACAAGTACCAAATAGTAATTTATCTGTTGCAGTTTTCAGGTTTATTTTCATATCGAAGGAGGAAAATAAAGATATTTTTTTTTCTTTCATAAGGGTAACCAGACTCAAAAAGCTCATTATTGTAAGCAACAGTTAAGCAAAATGTTAATTGCATATTAAGAAAATTTAGAGCGATCTCTCTGGAGCAGAAATCTATGATAGCTATTAAGGACAGACGGGCCACAATATTATGAGAGTCTCTGCTTATTTTTATTGAAGAAGCAATTGTAGGCTTAAATACTATAAATACCCTGGATTTCTGAATTTAGAGTTTCGGACATAGTATTTTCTGGGTTCATGCCAGAATCATTAGCCAGCCGGTCTGTGTACCTCGTAGAGTCACTGCTGTACATCAAGGCACTAAACGGATCTTACAAGATCTAGCCTGTAAGAGTTATTACGTCAAGACTCATGTCTTCTCTTGCTTTGAGGAATAGCATTTTTGGGGGACACACTGTTAAGCATCAGATTTCTTACCATGTTGAACCACAGTCTAGTTATGGTGAGGAGCTGGAATCACAGCAGTAATTTCAGTGGCCATCAGACAGTTAACAATATCCATCTTGTAATATCTTGCAAGAAAATCAAGCAGCCAGAGTCTCTCTGTTGCATAATTAGTCGTCTTACACTTAAAAGACAAAACAAAATGTTGCATTTCACCTGTGCAACACTGATTGCGTTTTTCATAGTCCTTGCATTTCTCACCTGTTACTTTATACCGGGATTGTTTCAATTTTCCGCTGTTTGAAAGTGAGAATTTCAGTAAACATGAACACTGAACTGTAGTCTGTAGTTGGGATGGTGCTGTTGTGCTTGACATGTTTGCTCAGTGCGGTTATTTTCTGTTCTCCAGATGCATCAAACATCACAGCCGCAAGGATTTAATTTCTGTTCTTCCGCTGTTTCATCTCCGCTGACCAAATCTATGTCTCTAATGTCAATTAGTAAACCAGTGCTGGACAGTGAGTAATGCAAATTTCCCTTATCCTTATCCATTCTGTCATCTGTATTATTAAGTATATCTTGCCACCTTCCCAAGGCAGAATTTGCTCGTACCTGCTCTTGCTTTCCTATATTATGTGAAATATATGTTTCACTGCTGCATGGAATTGTGGGTGGAAAGGGAGAACCTGTTCAGTTTAGATCCATATTTTGTTCTTCCCCACATATCCCTAGTATTTCCAGTTCAGTTGGGTTTCTTTTGTTTGTTTTTTTGTTAATTAAACTACTGGTACAAAACCTGTGATTTATTGAGTTTGTTATTTAAAAAAAGAGTCTGAATTTTGCATCCTTTCAGAATTCCTTCCTTTGATGTCAAGGTAAATTCCACTTGAGATCTTATTTTCCTACTTCTGGATTTTTTTGAAAGTTGATACATGAAAACTTGAGAATCCATGTCTTGGTCTCATTGGGGAAGTTTGTTTCTATTTATTTTGAGTTAAATGTTTTGAGGCATTTGGACATAATTTATTGAATCTCATTTGTGAAAAAAATTGATAAAAGATGATTAGGTGAAATTTTTCAGTTTAGCTTAATTGAAGTGATAACAAGCACTTAATTTTGCAACTTGACTGAATTGATTCTTTCAGCTGAAAAAGTCATTCAGAAGGCTGCAGCTGGATGTGCTTAGGAAGGGCCATGTTACATGTGTTTTCATTTTATTAATTGCCAGCCAGAAACAGTATTGACATTTCAGATCGTGTCTTCTCAGTCAGTGAAGGTCTCTGATCTTTTCCTCTTTATTAACATGCTTCTTCCTTGCAAAGCTGAACAAGGGCAAGGTGTATTTTTCATTTTGGAGGCTTGCTGGAGGAAGCTCACAAAGGTTATGCTTTGTAGGAGACGTTTTTAAATTCTTTGCCATCATTCTTCCATGGTTAATAAGCATATGGCCTCACGGATGTATCCTCCAGCAATGGTAACCAAAACGCTGTCAAATCTGTCCCGTAAAGACGCCGGCTCTTGCTCTGTGTAATGGCACACCCTCTGTCCTCCTTGGGCTGAAAGCCTCCATTATTTTTTTTGAAGCAACCAATTTATTGGCGTTGCATCCAGGTGCTAACCAAACACCATAAATAACTCAGCTAGTTCGCAGAAACATGCTCTTGGTGCCTGAGAGAGCCTGGCCGGCTGAGGCTCGTCTCCCTCTCCCTTGAGACTTTCCTTCAGGCCCATAGGAGGGGGTTACGTCAGTGGAGGATTTGTGCCTCCATCTTGGAATCTGACAACTTGCCACCTTCCTGCTCTTCTCTGTCTTATGACCCACGTTAAAAATGCCATTGAGGCCTGAGCTGGTGGTAGACAGGTTTGATTATCCCATCTTCTTCTCGAGTCGGCCTAGCCACAATGAATAAACATATGGAGGGCTTTCTCTTGTTTTTCCTGTTCATTGTCATATGTACTGAGGCACGAGCAATTTCCAAGACTGAGTTTCTAGCCTGCACTCCATCTGATGTCTCAGATGTTCCAAGAGCTGCTGTGGCCATTCACAACTGTTAATCCTTCAGCATTTTATAGACGGAGGTCACAAGAGCTGTTGGCTGGAGTGCTCGGAAGACTGCTTTCGGCTTTGGAATAGCAAATTTCCAGTGTGGAGTATTGTTATAAAGCCAGGAACTGCTATAAATAAAACCACTGAAATGGAAGTTGAATTGAACTGTGCTGGACGAGGTGGTTCTATTTACAGTAAAGTATTATTGTTCATCTTGACTTTTAGTCTAAATAGACAGTAGACTACAGAAGAAAGAAAGCAGTGTTGCCTAGTCATGTTCTTCAGGTCTGAGACACTTGAACAACTCCTTTGAAAGGCAGTCTAAACAAAATTAATTCATGAATCTTGCTAAGAATTCTTCAATTTAAATGCTTTTCATTGGGTCCCTCTAGGGTTGTTCTGCTTATGTTGGAAAAGCGTGCACATAATTTTAGTCAAATTGCCTCTAGGCAATTGGCATTTGTGACTAATGGCTGAAGGAAAATTTCAGGGGAGTTTGCTTTGCGTTGCTTGTATTACGTTGGATATTCCTTGGATAATATTTTTTATATTCTCAATTAAGTTTTGGGGTATAATATCAGCAATACAAAAAATTCTCCTTGTATGTGGCTGCAAGGACATGTTTTATTCAAGAACAGTAATAATTGCTAGTTCCTTCTCTTTGAAGTTTAACACTGATAAAGTCTTTAGGCTCTTTTCCCTGTTGTGCAAGCGAATGGATTTAGCCATGCAATGGCTAAAAGTGCCTGAATATATGCACTGAAGGTGTTTAATGTAGATGCTTAATGTAGGACCCTTAGGTCAGACCTGTCCCAGGGGCAGAGTTTCCCCAGCCCTGTCCCAGTCATCTTTTGTGAGGACACACTGATGTACCATGTGAGCGATGGGTATCCAGCAACCTGACATTGGTCAGATCACAGCTCAGAGGTTCCACCTGTGCTTGTACAATGAGAAGGTTTGGGAAACATAGCTCTTGGGCATCTCCATAAGAGGCTGTGTAGAAATTTCAGTTAAGAGCAGCTAGCTGACTCCTACATCTCTTTTCAGAGGAGATTGTACTTATAAAGAATTGTTGCAAAGCTGCTGCTATGCAAGAGCTGCTGTTAAAAATAAACTATTTTTAAACAGGAATTACAGTAAACCCTTTTAATTTGCAAAGTTTGCAGATGAGGACATGAACAAATAGCAAGGATTCCTGGACAAGTGCATAGTACTGGGTGATAAATATAACTTCAAAAATTGAAATAAGCAGAAGGCAGAGCAGTAAGATGTCTGAGTAAAGATGATTGAACTTGTTGTCATTATCCTACTAATAATGGGAGATTTGACATCATGGACTGATTGCTGAGTTTGGCACTGTGTTTGGTAGACTTCTTCCAGGCAAGGACAGGAGAGGCTGCAAAGAGGCTTATGTTAAGGCAGTTCCTTTAATATATAAGGACTGTGAGTTTTAGAAGGCAGGAGAAGACATGCTTGTTTTTTCTGTTTTATTTTGGAGAAGAAAAGAAAGGAAGTTTAGGTCTCTCCATTTTAAAGCTAGAAGCTTTTAAGGACATAACATTATGGAAATAGTGTTGGGTTTTTTTAGAAGTAGAAGTGGCAAGAACCTCCCTAGGTAGATAAAGTCAACACTTCAGATAAAGTATTCTTGATATACCCAGCAGCTTTGCTGTCATTTAACTGCAAAAAAGCACCCTTAAACAAATATCTTGAGTTGTTCTAGTTTGATTCCCTGACAGTTATTTCAGTGAAGCAGATGCCCTTTATCCAGAGATCCACTATGTTGTTGGTATTCTGTTTGGGAAAATAAGTGTTCACATGTAAGTCTTCATTAAGAGTTTCTGTAAAAAGATGACAGCAAAGATAAGAAAGCCTTGAACCTCAACTGATGCATGCAGTGAGACCTGCATCCTCTGAAACCTGCATCCTCTGGAATTTGCACATTCTCGATTCTTTGTTTCTTATGCCTTTTCTGAAGCTAGCTGCTTTGCAGACATTTCCTTTGCTTTGTTTTTAGCTTGCTTTGGCTGCTTTCCTCTCCTTTTTATTATTAAATGCGTTTTCAAGCATGCTCTAATGTCTGCTGTTAACCCACTTCTCAGCCCAGGGCCGGACTCGACCATCGAGACGGATCTCCTTCTCCTTCAGCATCTCTCCACTCATTCCTAAGTCTAAAACTCTCTTTTCTATTGGCTCTTCTTCCAGTGGTGAGGAGGAGGAGTTGGATAGTAAGTAATAATTTTCTGTGCATTGCAGCCATTATGGGTGGAAACCCAGGGAAATCTGGTTTTCTGCTTTAGACCTTGAAGTTTCACCTTGCAAACATTAAACTAACCTTTCCATTGCATGATGTCTAACAGCATTATCTTAGTCCTGTATCTGAATACTAACTAGTGACAGAATAAACAGATTATAATCCAGAGAGTCTTGTACATCAGCACCATCGTGTCTCATCTGGGTAGTTTTGTTCTGTATCCATGTGGCAAATTCCATCATCTGCCACTCTGACCGGCAATATAGTCATTACCTTTTAATTAAAACCAAAATACTTGTCTTGAGATTGTTGCAGTGCATGGAGTTAACAGAAGAGGTAGATCCTTGCTCTCCATAGTTGAGAGTGAGTACATTGCTCTCTGGAAGTAGGAGAAGAGGAGAGAAGCCCTGTTAGAAAATTCTGAAAATCTTGGTTACAACTTCACATTTCCCCTACTGAACAAAAAGCATACATTGCAGCCAAACACCTTAAATCGTCAAGGTGTTCATATCTAGGTCCTGGTATTGGAATCAGAATAGTTTTGTTGGGAAACAGGCGAGTGTTATATGGTAGCTTTTTTTCCTCCTGCAAACCCCATTGCTAAAAGAAACCCAACTAAGGCAGAAGATTGAATTAAAGTAATTTAGACTCCTCTTGTTTTTTTAAATAGGCTTATCAAAGATAATTGAAAATGCTTCCTATTTCTTAAGCCTGTTTTATTAGACTGTTGAAATAAACCAGAACAGATCATTCTCTATCTAAAGAGAAAATTCAGAGCAGCTGCGTTAGTTGGTTCAAATCAAAGGTTTGCAAGGAAACTAGCCCGCATCTTTCGTGCCCATACTGGAAAGGGGGAAATTGCTTTCCCGTCCAACAGATTTTGGTTGCTTCCTGAATTTACAAAATCTCCACACCGTCCATGTTGTAGGTTTCTAAATTCTCCTCCTTTCCATTCCCAGTCTTCACTGTGGGTTTGTCCCTTCCTACAAGAAAGTCCTGTGCTCTTCCCAGGTGTGATACTGCCTACTTCCATATTCAAGCTCCTTCCCCTTTGCTCTGTCCTTCTCTTGCCTTTAACAAAACTCCCAATTCATGGTCCCCACAAAGTGAGCTGCAAACACGCAGCTGTGCATTGATGTCATGCTCCCACAGCAAAAAGTACTGTTAGCTAAACTTCTTGGTGGATTTGTTTTTTCAATTGTTTTTTTTTTTTGGTTGGTTGTTTAGCGTTTTTTAATTTCTTTTTGTTTGTTTTAAGCATCCAACCAGTTAAGTAATTCCTGATAGTCAGGTTAGGATATAGCAATATTGGAGGGTATTTCTGTTAGCCAGTATTTATTATCTCTCCCTCAACAGTGTTGCTGTTAATGATGAACATTTAAGATAATGGATATTGTCTCGAACAAAAACGTTGCTTTCTTTACATGTATTTTATTCCCTCATATTTGAGGGTACTGTGGTGACTTTATATAAAGGTTGGTTTAGCCACAGCTATTCATAAGACTGCTTTGTCAGTGGGCATTTTTCATGGAGTAATCCCAGACCAGTTCGTTTATTTTTTTGCGTCTTCAGGGTTCATTTCTCATAAGCGGATGAATGTGTTAGTGTTGAGGTTGCACTTGCATTTCAGTTACTGCTCCTCAACATCTCCATGCCTGTTTTTCTTTAGAGTATGGAGAATTAGTTGCAGTTTGTTTGATATCATGATATGTTTAAGTCGTGAATTTCCAGTGGCTGGGCAAGCCCGTTTGTGCATTTTAGGAAATTATTATGAAGCCTTTGGATTTCATGACCCACAAAAGTTTAATTACTGCCAGCATTAAGGAGTTGCAAACTGGATCTTTTGTTTGCAACATCGTAGTCCAGTCGCTGCTTTCTGCATAATGGATCTTGATGAATTATTTCAAGTCCAGCTACCATATGAAATAATTTTGGTGAGTGATGCTTAAAAGGTGTTCAGATAAGTACACCAAAATTTGGCTGCTAGCCCAGAGTCATTGGACGTAGATAGCAGTCCTGGCTTTTGAAGAAAACTAACTTTTTTGTGGGTTGTGAAGTCAGTTTTAGCATTTCAGTTTTGAACCTGGTCATGACAGGAAACACAAAAATTATGGAAATAAAGCTTCCTTCCCCTCTTCTACTTCAAAAATACCCCTGAGGGTGAGAAATGTGTGCTTTTCTGTGCTCATCTTCATGGGCTTTATAGCTTGCAGCAGAGTGTTGATCATATGATGTTATATTGTAACCTAAAATATGAAATCATAAACAGGCTTTCACCTTGATTTTTGTCTGGATCCATTTTGCCTGCCAGTGTCAAGAATCCCTCATTTTTAAGACAAAACACTATTGCAGTAAAAGATAAATAGTACATAATTGAAGTTCCCATGCAATGCACCTTCTCAGGGTGCTGAAAAACAGTCACGAATATCAAATTATTACAGCTCTTGATTCAGCCTTTGTTCATATTTCTTACATTAACTGCAAGGAAACAAAAAGGTTTGTGAAGTACTAAAATCCAGTCAAATTGATGAATCTATTAAAAAAGGGAAAGACTAAGGAGGCTTAACCCATGTTAAAAGCAAACCAGAGCTGAAACGTGAACCAGAGTCACTGGAGCATTAACCAGGGAGTTTGGAGTCTGTAAAAATTACTTGTGGGATCTTAGTAGGTGCTTAGGTAGTAGATATTATATAAAAACCCAGCACAGTCAGGGAATTGAATAGTAGACTTCATTTGATACATGTTACAGTATTACTAACTTTGATGTATTTGGAATAGATCATTAATTAGAAGAAAGATTTTGCAAGGGAGATATTAACAGAGATCTTCGAGCAAGGGATTAGGTAATGGGGGTATGCCTGTATTTTAGTTTCTCAATAAAACGAAGTGATATTTCTGTCTCAGGCTGTGTTGACACTTGAATCAGCAGTTAGGAAAATGTGTATTTTAGAATCATAAGGCATAACACTGTATGCACAGTTTGTCCTAATGCACTTACTGCTTTTGGATAGAGGACCATCTTTGCCTCTGATGTCAAGTGGCTCTTTTGCATTCACCCTTAGCTTTAATATGTTAACAGAATTTGAAGCCAAAGTACTGTTTTTCTTACAATGTATATGCAGAAGCCTAATAAGATGATCAGTCATGCTGCTTCTTGAACTTCAGATTGGACTGCAAACAGTGGTTGTAGTGAGGGTTTTTTGGAGTCCTGACAAGTGCAGTTACTCTGGAGAGAGCCCTCTCTCCTCTGGGTCATTTCATCCTAATTTTTCAGTATTCTTCAATGGTTCTGGTAAATGGTATCAGCTACCTAATCTGCTCCAACTGCATTGTGCAAGCAGGTTTCTCGTGGTATAAAGAGAATTTGTGTCATTGGCAGGGCTTCAGCTTCATGTCGAAAGTCAGACTTCCTCAAGCACACTGTTGTGTGACTAAGCCCTAGGCTGGTAATGTTTCGTGGAAAACTGAATAAGGCTTCCCTTGTTTCCCTTACTCTTCATGAAGTGCTTCAGGATTTTGATGGGAATATGAACTATAGTTTTATCAAGCAGAAAAGTTTTATACATGAAACCCGGATGTGTTGTACAATAGATTCTTTCTAGTGGTGTATAAATAAAAGCATTGTGGCAGAATGATTCTCATTTATACCTATTGTCATTGAATTGGGAGTTCTGATTCAGATACCCTGATTTACCAGCAGATTTAACAGATGCACATCCTTTGCTTAATAGCTGAAGAACGACAGAAATATTAAGCAGGTCTTCACCTCAGCATCTAATTTGAGAGCACCTAAGGATACAGGGAGCAGGCTTTATCCTGAGCACATGAAATCTATTCTAAACACTCACTTCTGGAAAGCATTTCCCCTTCCTCTTGAACTGTTCAAATATGCAAACTATGTTTTTAAAATCAGTGGGCTAAGATTGCAGTCTAACATGTCACCCCCCACCCCTCTGATCTTTTCCAGGTACGCAGGCGTTCGGCGGCCCCACGGGTTCCTCGGTTCAGAGGTACAGTATTCTGGGGGTACCACGTCTCTTCTGGTGGGACTCCTGCAGTGGGCTCTGGTTTGGACACCCAAAAGCCTTCCTGACACCAGTGCCCTTCAGCTGAAATCACAAGTGTCAAGCTTGAGAAAATCAGTCCCGTATGTCTAAAGACCGAAGAATATTTTAGACCATAGAATATGAAAGTCTGTTCCAGGTCTTATCTCTAACAAGGCTTTGTGTTTATTCATAGCTAGTAACGTGTAAGATCATCTATTATCAAACAATATCAGTTCACCCGGAGTTGTATTTGACACTAAAAGTAGTTGTTCCTCCCTTTGGTTAATTCCGTCTCTAATTCTGTAACAAAGGCCAAAACGATCATGTTTTTGTACGTTACTTTTCATCCTTGCAAGCTGTAGAGAGGAGATAACCTTTCTGGTGGGTGCTGGCTTTAAAAGCGCTTCCTTGGAGGCAGGACGTTTGTGGCACCAAAGGAGCTGGGTGTCTGGTCTCTGTGTCACTCCGATAGCTTCAGCTTTATTTCGTGGCTGGGAAGCTCTTCACCTCTGCTTGCTGCTGTTTTCTCCTCCTTGATTGCCTTTGTCTTTCTGTTGTTCTGCTTTTGGTTTGCATTGTACTTCTAGTGACAGTGTCCTGTCCTTTAATGCAATAATAGTTTCCTCTGTAATTTCTTACTCTTCCACAGAAGCTGAAGAAGTCATAAGCTTGTGTGTGTAAAGACTGGCAGAAAATATCTGGCGTCCCAGAAATGCCTAAATTAACACAAATAACTGTTGCTGTTTATTACTTAGTATTGGTATTCTCATTTCTCAAGGGAGTCTTTGCAGACAGCATGGTTTCTGTTAAAGACACGCACTGCCTTTTCAGAGTTCATTACATGTCTTTCTCTGGAAGGACATTTCTCTTTAAAGGATGTGTGCATGTCTGTCCCTTTCTGTCTGAAATATTGATGATTAAATGCCAAGACTGACTGCATATCTGCAATACTGGCCATGTAAATGGGCAGATACTGCGAGCTGGTTAGTGGTTATTTGGCCATGGGAGCAGCAGAGGGTGCTATGGCATGCTTTGAGAATGGAGATTGCTTAAAAACAGATAAAAGGATTCCTTGAAATAACAAACTACTGGATTGGCGTTCTGTCTTCACTTTGCCTTCTCTGATATAACACCATAAAGCAACCTGTGACTCTATGGCATAATAAATGCATTTGTCCTTTGAAAAAGAATCTATTCATTTAATAGATGCTTTGGGAGAAAAAAAAAATACAAAAGCAACCTCTTTCTTTTTTGATTTTAGCATATCCGAAGAGAGCAGCAGTGACCGCTCTAAAGGTGGAACAAAAGTCAGTCGCACCTTCAGCTACCTCAGGAATAAAATGTCCAGCAGCAAGAAGAGCAAAGTAAGTGCTTCCTGTGATTTATACAGCCGTGAGATACCCATAGGTAGCAGAGATGAATTCTGTATTTCAGTGTGTTTCCATAAGGTGGTATTTATGTCTTTGCCTGACTTTCTTTTCTTTTTCTTCTTCTTCTTCCTTTCTTCCTTTTGCGAAGGGAGGATTGTCTGTGGGGTAATAGGGAATAGCTACATGGGAAATCTTAGCACCCCAAAATTGAAATGCATCTGAGGTGAGTTTTCTTGTGCAATGTTCTTGCCTCTTTTGCCCACAGCGTGAAGCTTCATTTATTATAGAGGATAGATTGTGCTCCGGCATGAGTTACAGCTTTGTGGTGATTGATGGGTCTAATTTTTACAGAACCTGAGAGGTGTTTAATAAAATGAGGACAGGAGCTGTAAGAAGGGACTGGCTGCTGAAGGCTGTATTGTGTTTCCCTTTTATTTTTACCTTTGCCACAAAGTTCCCGTGCACTGCTGGAGAAGTTGCTCGAACTGTGACCTTTAGTGATGGCCAATATTTATATTTTCCCCTTTTTTCCATCCTTGAAACCCTGGGATTTCATTTGCTGAAGGTTAAGTGCTGCTCAGCACAGCTGAATTTCCTGGGAACAGCATTGGTTACAGAAATAATTACATTAATGCTAAATACTTCAAGCAAACAGGCTGTTGTTGCCTTAGATTGCCCCCTGAAGATTAATACGTTTGGTTTTTTTTTTTGCCTTGATTGGATTTTTTACTTGAGTCTCGCCTCGGTTTATCGTGTCTGACAGAAGCTAAGAGCACCTTACCTCACAGTGGGCAATGTGTATTATATAGTTAGGTGACGTGTAGCTACTATGTTGGTAAATACTATTGGAATGCCCCTGAGACACATAATTACATATTCTGATGAGTGAATAGCAAACGGGAAACAAAATGTGGCATAATGAGCATTGTGCCTATTGGAGAATAAGGCTGGGCTGAAGCATATGCGTATGCGAAGGGTCACGTTTCATCTGCACAAGCAAACTTGATTTTAGCCTTTCCCACCATAAGCACTTGATGTTTCAGCCTGAGCGTTCCTCTAGCATAGCTGGGTTTGTGTGCTCTCATGGTCCTGCGCACATTTTGATACACGTTTTTGGAAGATTGCATCACCTTTGCAATGAGGTACCAGCTGTAGTGAGATCAGTCATCCTAACACACAGTTCCTCTTTATGGAACTGCCTTTAAAGATGCAAGCTGCAAGTACCAGCAGCTCAGAGCTGCTGCTGAGCAGCTTTCAGACAATGCTGTTCCCTGCTGCAAAGTAGGGAGTCAAAAAAAATCCCTTTACATAGAAACCTCTGTGCAAACTGCTAGCGAGAAGCTGTGGAACATGTTGCACAGCCTGTGAACGAGACTGGAAATTCATTAACTGGTTCTTGCACTTCGGGTGCATAATCTCTAAAGCAAGAACTGGATATATATATATAAAAAAGAGATCTGGTTGGGACAGGTAAGAAAATATAACAGAAGTGCTTTGAGGTGTTTGGTCTGCTTTTGTTAAATAAATGCAGTCTGATTTCACTAATTTCTTGATTGTGTCTGAAACTGTTGATAAAGAATTGCTCCAAAATCCCAACAGTAATACGCGCTACAAAAACTGCAGCTTGTATCAGTTCTGATATTTTTACTAACTAAAGAGCCGTAATATCATTCAAATCACAATTTCTTTTCTGCTCGCGGTGGAATGATTGCATTACATACATTTTTAGGGCTTCAGCTGTACATTTAAATAATTTCACCTAACAATTCTTGGGAACACTGATTTCTCAGAAGCTTTATGGCTGATGAAAACCTGTAAGAGTTAAAAAGAAAAACAACAAACCTTGAAAGAGGAAGTAGGACAGGAAGAGTTGGTTTCTGCTGCCGTCTGGGCTGTCAGGAGGGAGAGAGCCTTCAACTTCTTCCCAACGAGGTTTTACTTTTCTCCAAACCTTCAGAAATGCACTGTTTTCTAAGATGAACCATAAAATAAAGCACATCAGAGCCTACTAATGGCAATGGCTCTTTTTGAAAATGGTGTAAACAGTTATGTAAAAAACTCCTAAAAATAAAGGAGTGTTTGGAGTATTAACTGGAGGGGATACCGATAGAAGTTTGTGTGAATTTACCCATGACTGGCATGTACTTTGTGTTATTCGGGGATTAGTCAGCAAATCTCTTGAATTGAAACTGATTCACGTTTGTGAAGTCTAAAACATGCTATATCTCTGTCAATTAGAAAAAAAAAACACCTCATTTTCTTCATTTTGGTACAGAGTTTCTGGGAAATGACGACAAAATAATTAGCATGAGTAATTTCTCCTTTTAGCCTTGACTTGCGCAGTTATTAGGCAGTGCTGTACCACCAGCAGAGTTTCAGTGTATATAGTAAGAGTCGTAAGTGTTTGAAAGGTGTAGGAGACAGGGAATATTTGTGACTCACAGAGCAGCAAGAGCGCAAACACGTGAAACCTTTTCTGTCTGGGAAATCTTCTGCAGCACTTTGTTTACCGAAGTACTACATAGCAACGCTAAGGTATGTTAAAATTCACTTTTTCTGTATGCCAAACATTACAGAGGGTTTGATTTACCACCCCATGCCTTTTAAATGGGTGGTCTCCTATTGACTTGTGACTTCTAAAATATTAATCCCATCCTTTCCTGCCTGTATTTTTTTTTTTTTTTAGTTTTTTTATTTTTTAGCAGTGGAAGCTATGGTAGGGCAAGATGAAAGCAGTAGCAAAGTAGCTAAAATCATCTTCAAGGAAGTTAGCAGCAATCGTCCCGCCCTCCCCCTTTTGCTCAACTCCTCTCTGACTGCCGTCTCCCCCGGCCATCCATGCTGGCAGATCTTGGCCGTCACGGTGGGCTAATGCCGGTGGGGAGCAGCCCTCCTGCCCCTGGGGGAAGGATGTCTATAAAATGGAATAAATTTGCTGAAGTACCTCAAATAACAGTGAAGCTAGTAGGACTTAAGCACTGGGAGGTAAGATCTTCGTGGTTATTTCGGAGCGGGATCTGCTGCTGCGGCGCACGGTCTGTTATTTTGGGCCGTGCGACTGAGTCATGGTACCCGTCGTGTCTGTTAGTGCACATCGGTGCAGGTTCAGCCATGAAGCTGTGCTTCAAGTCATGCTGGCAGCTCCGATACCGCAGGAAAATGGTTTTTACGATCCTTTTATTAAAAAAATCTTCCAGTAACTGTCCAGTAACTCTCATGGCAAAAAAAAAATATTAAAAATAAAATCTCGTTTTGAGACCTTGTATTTCAGCGGTATGGCCGGCGTCCCATGTATGAACTTTGCTGTTTCCTCCTTGAAAGCGATGCACCCATTTCCTGTTTTTCCTGGAGTCGTTCAGCTTTAATTAAAATGTTTTTTACAGTGATTTTATGAAGATAGGGTGTTATTCCAGACTCTAGAATTACTGGGCATTTAATTACAGTAATTAATTTACTGCAGAGCTCAATTACAGGAAGCATCAGGTACATTTAAAGTATAGGACGGTGAATCTCCTTTCAACATTTTAAACGTGAGTCGCAAGATCTGCCTTGAGCGTAGGGTGATCTTTTCGTCTGGAGCTTCACAAGTCCTGGCAATGGAGCAAAACTCCAGGTGTCAACTTGGTACCATCATCCAAGGACTAAACTGCAGCATTTTGGTTCTTGAATCCTGCCAGGCTGGCTGTGGTTAAAGGTGGGCAGGTCAACGGATGGAGAACAGGGCTGTGGAGGTTTACGTGGGGTGGTGATCCGAGCCGATGGCTCAAAGGAGGCAGAGATGTGCCACAAAGCAGACTCTTCCTGGCAGGTTTCCTGCTTCAGACAGGATTATTCCATCCGGTACTACTCTTGGTTTTGCTTATTTGCAGAACAAAATAGCATTTGGGGCCAGTAAATAGACTTTCTGTTTATGAGGCTTTGCAGGAGGAGACTCTGACACTGGCATTTTGCCTGGGGTGTGTTGGGAGATGGGAGACCTTAGGCTGAGTTACTAATTATTTGAGTGTGTCATCAAAGGCTCAAAAGTTTCCCTCCAGGTGACGGCAGAGCTCAATACCTCTTTTAACGGCTTCATGACGGTTGCTCACATGGGCTGCTCTGCAGCTCTCTGATATTTAGGCTCTGACAATGTTTAGCAAAGGGCACATGGAATATAAATAACAAAACGCAAAGATAAGTTTACAGAAGCCTTTACCAATTGGTTAAGCTGCTCTTTCAGCTGCCATGAGATCTGAAGTAACAGTTAAAATACAGATCTGGAGCTGAATTGTATGGTAAACATTTTGTAGGGTGCTACATAGAAAGACAAGGAGTCGCCATAATTCAAATTTGGAGCTTTTCTGTGGAGTTTACTTTAAAAATTGTTTGGGAGAATTCCAAATCCACGAAAGACTGCAGGGAAAAATGTTTCAAATTTTTAGTATTTAGCAATTTGTAGCTCAGGTAGTGATAGAAAGGTAAACAAAAACTCTGCTAAAAGTTGGAGAAGCTGGCTGTGCTTGTCGTCTTTCCAAACCTGAGTAGCCCAGAGGTTGAACCGTGTCTTCCGGAAGACAAGATAATCTTTTACGTTGTTGCTGTTGTTCCTCAGCCTTTCTGTGATGCCATATTTCGAGAGTTTGTGAAAGTTCCATTTCCCCAAAAAGCTTCACATGGGGTTGCATGAAACTTTTGAAAAAGTTGCTAGTCAGAAGGAAAACGGAGGGGGAAATATTCTGGCAGTGGTGCTGTGCCGTCACCAGGGAAGAGTTTGCATTCTCCATTAAAAATGCAGCTGCAAAGCATGAGTCTTACAGGTCGGCCTTAAAAATTAACTGTGTTGAAAGTTCGTTACACATTACACGTGGTGTTTGTATTTAACACAATTCATTGGAAGTGCTGAAGAGGTTGATTAGAGCCTAGAAGAAAAGAAGTCAGTCATTATATAGCGAATATAAAACAAAGGTGGAAGAAAATAGCTGCCTTCGGAACAGATTCAATTTCATCTCTGCTGCCGAGGTACCCATGCAGAAGGCTTTGCAAGTCAATAGTATGTTAATCCACATCCATGGGGGCTGTAAGCTGATTTTTTTAATGGAGAGCTGTGCAGACACATGACTATTGTTAAGGTGTATGCCGATCGATATCGTCATTCTGCCAAAGGCAAACACTGACGAATTTGTAACTAGAGAACAGACCTCTGAAGTAACGAGGCATTTGTTCGTTTTCTCTCGGCAGGAAAAAGAGAAAGATAAAGAGAAGACTAAAGAGAAGGACAAAGATTCCAAGGAGAAGGAAAAAGATAAGAAGCTGTTAAACGGACATCTCTTCACTGCAACCTCCGTTGTAGCCCAAGCAACCTGTTACCACTGTATGAAACCTTTCAATAAGGATTCGTACTACTGTGCAAGTAAGTCAGGGGTTTTTTCCCCTTTTCCTTTTGTTTTTCATTAAATCTGAAATGGGAAATGCAAACCTTATGCTTTATTTTCCTCTTGCATGAGGACATGGGTTGGGAGGGAGACTTTGGAGATGGTGATTCATGGAGCAGCGTGTTGCCTTATGGAAGCTGGACCGAAATGAGTTGTGGCTGCAAGGAGGTGTCCTGCAGCCTCCATCCTAGCCCATGCTCGGACATCGCAGCATCCCATGGGGTTTTCTGCCCCTGCCTGTTGGGATGTATCAGTCAGCTGGAGGACTTTGGTTATGTCAAGCTGCATGTAATGGCTTGGGCTGAGATGCTTCGTTGAGATGGATGGAGGACAGGGAAAGATGGCTTGGGTCATGGCTTTTGTTTCCAATGGTGAAAAAATGTCCCACTCATCTGTAGTATATTGCTTTAGTTCTCCGAAACACAGCTTCGGTAAGCCCTCAGTGAGAACAGCATGATACAAAAAAGGAAATACTAACCCTCTTCTCCCTTTATACATGAAATTGCATCACGGGTCAAATGGCAACTACCTGTGTGCATGTGAAGTACGTGCAATACGGTGCAGGCAGTACGGGAACCACAGCGGAGGGTTTCTGTGAGACTGATGATTTTGTTCTCTTTTCTTATCAGACGCTGTTTCTCATGCCTGTAGCTCGATAAAGTCAGCAGCGTTTGTGTGGTCAAGACCAGAATGGTGGCTGGTTTACGCAGCGACCGAAAGCTATAGAATATGCAGACAAAAATGTCTTTTTTTCCACTGCAGCTCAGGGCTTTCCGTTCCTCACTATTAGTAATATTTTTTACTGCACTAACCTGGAGATGAGTTGGGGCCTGTATGGGAATTGCTCCCAGCCTGCAGCAGGAGGCTCTGTCTCTGTTCCTTCTGGTAGATGAGCAGTGTATAAAACATCTCCAGTGAGCAGGGGAAGGAGCAGCCAGCTGAATCCCGAATGCCAGTTTTGAGTTTCCTGGAAGAGAAGAGATTTCAGCAAAGTTGTTTGCATGAGACACTCTGTGTCAGCCTGATGGGAAATGGAAAACATCAACAATTATAAGCTCTCAAATGCATCCTCTCCCTTTCCCTA